CTCACCAACCCGGCGACCCTCGTCTTCTGAAACAACCGGAGACTCTGCTGCACTGAAAGTTGGTTCAGTGGCGAAGAAGGCGGCTACATTCTGCCTGTAAACCCTCCGAAAAGGGCTGGTTTTTATTTTTGCTTTGACTGTCGAAAGGCGGGGGATACGAAGCGACGTACGGTGAAAATCCGTAACATTTTCGACTCACTGAAGAAAACAGAAAACAAAAAACGGAATTGCTACAGAGCCAGTTCGTGCTGCTGTGACTGGTCAGCGATAGTACATGGATTATCTGGTAAGTACGTGAAATGAAATGCCGTGGGGTTCCTTGTGCCAATAAGAGACCGCTTTGAACGTTTGTTTTCCTGGCAGTTGGGCTCCCAGTGAAGCTGTTGGTGTCACGCAGGTGTGTGACCTTTTAACAGCCAGGTGTTTGTTACTATTAACTAATTTTGTGTTTAACTATAGGCGTGGTGACATGTGTTGTTTTATGCTAATGTCAGGTTTCTGTTGTAGCCTCTAGGTTTTGCCTGGTAGCTGTTTCTAGCTGTTCGACACAAGTCTAGCCATCCAGGTACACTCTTCAGGTGTTTCTAATGTGCCACGAAGCTGCCATGCTTCACAAAACTCGCTGCTGCTGGGGATAAAGCTGCACTATGTTGGATTTGGAGTCAAGCTGTCACTCGAAGTGACAGTTTGTCACTGGGTTGAGAAATTAGTTCCCCTGCATACTTTTAATATCTGTGATTAAAAACAAAAAGAAGAGATTTATTTCAATCCGGACTAGTGCACCAGCTTTAAACCGTGAGATTATGTTTTTTGGGTCTTTGCCCACATTGTAGGAATGGGATGGGTGCTGGTGAAACAGTGCAACAATGGAGAGGAAGCTGTAACTGAAGGCTTTCCCTGGGAATTTATGAAGCCGGAGGAAAAAGTGTACACAAACAATGTGCTGTCATCTCACATGGGGGACATGACAGTGTGAAATGCAAAGGAACTTGCCCACCCAGTGTTATCAGCTTGTTTATAGTGGGCCTCCCAAGATGTGACCGAAGAGGAACTTCGAACTTTGGCTTCGCTGGGACATTTCTTGAGCAAAGATGACAAAGTCTTATCCAGCAGCTGCCACCAGAACAGCTGTACTGTTAATGTCTACCTTGCTTGTGGCTTCTGTGACACACTTTTAGTTTACTTGGGTTATACTGTAAACTCTGTTAGATGGTAATGGAAAGTTCTTGGTATCAAAGGGTGAAGGTACAGTTGTCAAAAATAGCAACTGTGTGTCATGAAATTAATGTAATCTGACTTGCCTTAGCCTCCTCTGTTTTTCTGATGTAAGGTTTTTTCTGCAAATAAGCATTTTTAAGTGTACTAAAGCTTAAAATACACTTTTTTTTTTTAAAATCAAATGTGCAGACTCCTCTGAAGTCAGGTAACACAGACTCCTTGCCTCAGTTATGTGAGGACCAGTCATCCTTGTATGTGTAGTAATCCCCTCAAAATGACCTTTTTGAGCCAACAAAAACCCAGCAGGTGCTTCACAGACATGACAGCATTTACAACGATTTCAAATCATTTTGTAACAACTGCACAAAAAACAGGCTGCCATATATTCTCCTCATCATAAAGCACAAAGTAAAATTACCCCTATGTACATATTGACAGGAATGTAAACACTTTCCAGCTTACGTGCTTGAAGGATTTAAGATTTGGTGTGACAAATAGTTTTGTGCAGAAAGCACAGCTGTAACTGTGGGCTGTTGGAGCTGAGTGCTTGGCTGTCCTCTGAGGTCAGGCACTCAATAGGCGCAGGGCCTCCTTTCCTGCTGTGCAACACTGGAAACCTGGCTCAAGCCTAGGCCCGAACTGCGTCTCTTTCGCTTTCCTATATTAATTTGAATGTGTTGCTAAACTTTTAATAAGTTATTCTAGTCTTGCTTCCTGTTCAGGCTTTTTGGTAAGGTTTTGCATCAGGTTTCGTGCAGAGCGGTAGCACAAATAGGAATGGAAGCTGACAGTTACTGCACATTGCTGGGAAATAACTGTGGTTTGAGCTTTGACAGTAGTTGAGATGTGGTGTATTCAGTTGGGAGCTGGAGCATGTTGAAGAGGCTGTACTTCTGCGAGGTCAGCATTGTGTTTTTAAAAAAAGGCCATACTGACCTGCTGCATCCATGTAGGAATTTGGTGCTAGTTGTTGCCATGACGCAGTCTTACCATGGTACATTTGTAGTGTTTGGCAATGTCTTTGGTTTGATTGTACAGCATATGTCTTTAATTACTTTAAAATTGAGAATTTCATGGACAAGTTGGAGTTTATTTTGGATTTTCTCTAATCCACACATGTTTAAAAAGTAAACATGCACTCTCAAATAAATATGTATCCCCACTAATATTTGGTTAAATGTCCCTTAGCAAGTTGTACCTTAACCAGAGGCTTTTGGGAGCCATTAACAAGCTTGTGGCATAATTCTAGATATCTTCTTGGCACATTCGATAGAGTTCATTTAAATCTAGGACCCCCCCCCCCCCCCAAAAAAAAAAAAAAAAAAAAAAAAAAAATTAAAGTGCATAATAAAAATCCTAACATTACCGTGACATTCATTCCCACGATGAGTGTGTGGGAAGTTTTGACCACAGCTGTCTGCGAAAACACAAACATGGCAGTACTGTTAGTTGGTTAATTTCTATAGCTCACACAAGAACTTATAGGGTTATTTATAATGGTATTCTAGCAGACATGACCTTTTTAAATAGAAATTTGCTTATTAGACTGTAAGGCTTTATGTATTATTCATATAAGAAATATTTTATCCCAAAAGTTGGGAAATTGTTGTGTTACATCAGCCAGCACATTAAATACAATTTTTAACAACAAAGCTCAAATAAAGTATATTGGCTCAAAAAAATTAAATGTATAATAAGGCAAAGTAGCTCAAAAAAGGGTTTAATGAAGAAAACTCTTAATATAACGAACTAGGGAATAATGGAGAAAAATCAAAATATGTGGTGTGAGGTAAGAATTATTTTTCTGTTTTTGTCCTTGTGACAGCGGTCTGAGTGCTTATTCGTCTTATTTATGGGTGTGGTGAGATTTACAGCTTACACATTTTCCCTCAGTCTTACACAATATTTGCCTTTTGTGATGACGTATTTACTTCCTGTACACGAATGAATAAACCCTCATGGACTGACCTTCTGGTGAAAACCTTGCTGTGTACTTTACAAAGACAGATCTGTAATGTTGTAATAAATATCGACGTTGTTTAATGTCAAACAACCAGCACTTAAAAAATTTTTTTTAGTTATGCAAAGACTCTGTGACAGTGACTGCCAGACATTCATCCAATATTTTATCCTTTCATATATGTAATGTAATGTTGTTGAGCTGATATGATTTTGACACAAAAAATAAAATAAAATAAAAAAAAAAATCTGTAAATTAATTGTGATGGTTGTCGTTAAACAGTTGTTGCTTACCATCCTTATCAAATGGAAAGCCTTGATGCTTGAGTCATACAGTCCTGATCCAAAGTTTAAGATCACTTGGAAAAATGGTAAAAAAGTCATATTTTGCATGTTTGGGTTAACAACGTGCCAAGTAGAGCTTCAATGTGAAACAAGAAGAAATGGGAGTGAGAAAAAAAATTATTTTTTTTTTGAGCATGCAGTTTATTGAAAACAATGCTTGAACTGAAACAGGCTGTTTTATAGCCTTCAAACGTTTAAGACCACATGCCTTTAAAAGGCCAAATTTGTGCAAAAATGTGGATTCATTGTCATTTTCTGTCAGGTAGTCACACTGTCATGACTTTCTGATGGCAAAGGCAAAGAAAGTTCCCTTTTTGAACATAGTTGGGCTATTAAACTGCATAAGCGGGGTCTCTCCCTGTGTGCCGTCGCTGTTGAGGTGGGATGCAGTAAGACAGTCATTTTTATTTTTTTTTATTTTTTTATTTTTTTTAAATGATCCTGAAGGTTATGGAACAAAAAAAAGTCAAGTGGAAGACACCCAAAAATTTTTACCAGCACAGAGCCAGAGGATGCAATTGGCTATCCGTCAAGACATTGGACGTTCCTCGACCCAAATTAAGGCCGGTACTGGTGCCAATTGCAGCCCCATAACCGTCAGACGGCATCTGAGACTGAAGGGCTTCGAAAACAAAAACGTCTTCAAAGGCCTCGTCTCCTCGAACACCACAGAACTGACCGTTTGGCCTTTACAAGAGAGCACCAAACATGCGACATTGAAAGGTGGAAGAAAGTTTTATTCTCTGATGAAAACATTTTTTTTTATCTTGATGGTCCTGATGGTTTCCAATGCACGACAAGCAGGTCCCACCTGAGATGTTTTCTACGCACCACATTGGAAGAGGTGCCATAACGGTGGGGTGCTTTTTCCTTCAGTGAAACTATGGAGCTTCAGGAGGTGCAGGGACATCAAACCGAACGGCTGCTGGCTATGTCCAGATATTGCAGAGAGCATCCCTAATGACTGAGGGCCCTCGTCTGTGTGGTAACGACTGAGTCTTTCACCAGGACAAGGCTACAGTACATAATGCCCACAGGACAAGGGACTTCTTCCAGGAGAATAACATCACTCTTTAGGACCATCCTGCATATTCCCCTGATCTAAATCCAATTGAGAACCTTTGGGAGGGAAGGGAAGTTTACAAAAATGGACAACCGTTCCAGACAGTAGATGCCTTTTGTGCAGCAGTTTTCACCACATGGAGAAATGTTTCCACTCACCTCATGGAAATGTTTGCATCAAGCATGCCGCAACAAATTTTTGAAGTGATCAACAATAACAGTGGAGCTACTCATTACTGAGTTCATGTTTGGAATTTGATTTCTGTTTTGGGGGGTGTACGTATTTTTTTGGAGGTGTGGTCTTAAACTTTTGATCGGCTGTAAAACAGCCTGTTTCAGTTTAAGCGTTGTTTTCAATAAACCACATGCTCAAAAAATGTTTTGTCTCACTCCTGTTTCTTCTTGTTGCATGTTGAAGCTCTACTTGGAACCTTGTTTTAAAATTTGTTTGTTTGTTTCTTTTTTTTCTTTTCTTTGTTTCCCAAGTGGTCTTACACTTTTGATCGGGACTGTATTTGGTTCTTACCATAATTAGAAGGTAACACAAAGTAAAACTTAAGGCCTTAGTAGTAGTATTTGCAGTTTGTTAAACTAAACTACTTGTGAGATGGGCACAGTGGCATGGGAAAGTTTCTATGAATACATAACCTATAAAAGATGACTTCATGGAATAACCTTTGTCTTTTACGATCTCAAAATAAAAAATGTTAAGGTTTGGTCGCCCTACACTTGAACTGGCAAGTCTCATACAGCTTGAAAAGAGTTTTTGTAAATCAGCTAAGAAGCTCTCTGTTTGGGCAAAAATCCATTAAAAACAATCTTCATGGAAAAGACTTCAAGTTATGTGAAACCTTCAGGCTATCTTAGATGCACTCCTCTTTAGAGGCCTGTCTATATACTTCTGATAATATTTAGGTCAGGGGACTGTGGGGGCCATGACAAAACTTTAAGCCACTTGTGATGCGTTTAAGATCATTATCCCGCTTTATAAAACATACTGTTGTGATGTTTGCTTCCATAGTTAGCTGGTATTTAACCGAATACATTCTTCCAACTACCAGTAAAACATTGTCTGTACTACTAGCTGCAACACAAGCTTAAACTATAATCGATTGTAAGCTCACTCTTAAAAGTTGAAGTGTTCTTATTTCAGCCACTAAATTTTGTTTTCATTTCATCAGTGCACAGGAATTACTTCCTGTATGCATCAGTCTTGTGTAAATGTTCATTTCCACCCTTTAATGCTTAATTTTGCAGTGAGATGCCTTCTACTTAATGGGTATACACGACATTATATATAATATAAAGTCATGTATAATATTGTATTTATAAAGCTTTGAAATGTTCATGCATTTGCCTTTCCTTGTGTAAATTCATTTCTTAATGTCTCACAGTTTATTAAGAGTTACCCACAGGGTACTTTTTCCATTCATTTTTCATTCAAAAATTCTGTGAGAATTTTTTCTTCTTGCTTTGTACCTTTTGGAGATCACTTCATGTTATGCTTAGAAATTTTGAGCAAACGTTTGCATTTTACTGTTAATACACTAAAGGATTTACTGAAGGACTAAACACCTGTATCCATGTTTTGTTCGCAGTCCGACCCACTGCCATTATCTTTCCCTGACAAGTTACTATTTGACATGCATAGCCACAACTGCAACCTGGTGAGTGAGCCAGTCAGTAGGGAAATGGTGTGTGTGCATGTGACATGGACATTAACTTTTATTTTTCTTGTATTAAAGGTCTAGGGAGTAATGGATATGACAGAAACAACCACATTATACTGCTAACACAACTGGCTCTTTGCAAGCATGTGCACAAACAGCATGCTAACGCAAAGCTAGTGAAGAACGCGAGTAATGATAACTGAGTGGATGCCATCCCTAGCCTAGCAGTCAGAATCTAAACTTCCACAGGCTTGTAGCATTGTAGCCTCCGTTTCTAACTGTGTGTGTCAGTTTTGCTTTGTGTCGTTGGCTTTTCAAACAAACGCTAAAATAAAAATCGATTGTACGTCCTTCAAAGGATAGGGACTTCTGTCGGTGTGTCTGACTGAAGCATAAGGTTTATATTCTGAGATGGTCATAAACAAGACAGTAATGTTTAACTGTGTAACTGATTACTTTCTCTGGGGAGTAATGAAGTAAAATGCTGCATTACCTTTAGGAAAGTTAATGTATAATATGTTAATTTTTGGTCTGGAATAAAATATCGATACGATATATATATATATTTCCTGTCACATGTTGGGTAGGTAGAAGGGAGAGCAGGTCAACTGTTAATTGGAAGGTTGGTGGTTTGATCCCTGGCTGCTTCAGTTCAGGCCAAGATACCAACCCTAAGTTGCTTTCCAATGCATCAGTTGGTATATAAATGTGTTTAAATGTTAGATAGAAAGCACTTCTCCAGAGAACAAGTGCTTGTATGAATGGGTGTGAATGAGGCATGTTGTTATATAAAGTGCTGTATAAGTATCAGCCCATTTAGATGTTTTTGTAAACTTTTCCAGAGTTATAATGACTCCTCCAAGTCACTGAGGTTAACTAACCTGCAGTGAAGAACACGAAACTCACAAATGCAGGCTTAAGGGAAAGCTATACTTCCTGTTCATTGTATTGTGATACCATGGATCACATGAGATGTCTTCTGATGATTGCTATCGTTACACTGAAAGCATTTTGGTACATGATCCCACTAGCTTACAGGAATTAAAAGCTCAAATGATGCCTTGGGTGTTTTGGAGATTTCACCCGGGTACAACAGGCAACATTTTTGAATAAAACATTTAAAATAGCCATGCTTTTGTTGACGCAGTCAGCATTAGGATCACACCTTTATGAAAATATATTGAAGCTTGCATGTGTTTTGGCTCAGAAGAGCTCCTTTCCAAGGGCACACAGCAGGTGCTGGCAAATTGACATCTCACAGCAGAAGCACAGAGGAAAGAGAGCTGATGGGAAGTTGTTGGCAGAATGAATATATCTTGTTGGCATATGGGACACAAGGCTGATGTTTTGTCCCCTGTCTGACCGTGTTACACACCTCACTGGCGCTGGCAAAGATCTGTGCCAAGTTTTTTCTTTTCTTCTCCAGAGGCAAACAAAAAATGACCTATTGTATCCAGATAAGAAAACTCAAAATGTTTCAGTAGGGTATATGCTTTTTTTTATTGTTTGGTCGATATTAGGCTAATCATTTACTTGAGCCAACAAGTTTGAGTCAGGTTTCACTTGGAGGGTTTAAGTTTGATTACGGTGTTCACTGATTGTAAACCTGCATGTTTTTTGTCCTTCCCATCTGCTGTTTAGCTCATTGTGTTATGGAGAGGACCACTGATCAGTATCTTGGAATGGATCAAGATCAGTGTTGCTGTTAAGATAATGGATCATAATCCAATACTGGCACTTTGACTTCCTTTTTTATCTTGACTTCCACTGATATGTTGTCTTGAGTTCCACTTCCTTTACTCTGTCTCAGTCCATAAATGATATCATAGCGTAGGGTACGACGAAACATTTCTTTACTGGGGAAAATACGCTCCTGGATTAAGGAAATGCAAATGACTTTGTTGTTTGATTTATACTCATTTTACTTGAAAAATAAAAAAAAATGGCTTGGTCTATCAAACCATTAAATACAGCTTTATTACCAAGATTTCGATTGTACAGTTCATCTTACTGACCTACAATCATTGGATAAAGTGCTTTACAATGGGCCATCATAGACTGTCATATAACTAATCCCAATACAGAAGGTGGTGTCTGCTATAAAAATTGTGACATGAATATGATTTGAATATACTGTATTCAATAGGATTTTGATTTATTTATTTAGCACTTTTTTGAAACACTTTACAAAAAATCCGATTTCTGATCTAAAGTTGCACCGTTGCTTTGGTTTTTAAATTAATGAAGAAAAAGGACATTGTAATTTGAGAACAACTAGATGAAAAGTTGTTTTGTTGACTTTGGGATTGTTTGTAGGCTTAAAAAAAATTCCATGACAAAATCAGCCAGCCACTACTTGACCCTCTAAAATTGATTATTTTTGTACAATAACTTCATGTTATGAAGCCATGCAAAATTTTGCCTTGAAAGTAAGATTTTTTTTTAGTTTGTTTGAATGGCAGGACCTTGAAGTACAGATGTGGGTCATTCTTAAATTTGACAGCATCTTTTATTTTTTCCAGAATTTGTGAACCCTCCTAACCTCGTAGCCGTGTTACATTTTCAGGGCTGAAAAACATTTCTTTCTTTTGAAAGAAATCCAATCTAAGCAGTTTTACTCCAAATACCACAGTCTAATGCCAGAATCTTTTCCTCAGCAGAATTATTTATCTATAATCCCTTTTACATGTCAAAATGAAAGGATATATCATCGTTTTTCTTGAAAAACTGCACCAGCTTATCGTTGTGAAATGGTGAAAAAAACACTGTTGCTCACTCTGCTGTTTCACAATATGAACTTTGCATGATTTGATAGGTATGCTAAAATGATTGTGCTAAGAATCAGATGATTTTTGAGAAGGTCAGGTGGAAACTGTTTTCAGATTTTGTTGACTTTAAATGGAATGACCCAGAAATTCTCAGATTATATAAATCAGTGTTTGTGCCCAAGACGCACTAAAGAGCATGGCAAAAATTTCTATTCATAACTGCAGAAAAAACATTATATGGAATAATTGGAATTACAGTTTTGATTGTCACTTTTAAGTGTAACACTTGCAATTTTATACTTTGCAATAAGTTCCCCAGACATGACTTTTCTTCACTCCTATATCAGATACTTTCACTCAATTCAATAAGTGTTCCTGCCTCCTCCTGGTGAAATTATTCATCATGTAGCGTGTTGAATTAATATTGAGCATTTTATATTTTAACTACAAATTTGTGTCAGTTGATAGTGGCAGCAGCTAGAACTAGACTGCCGAGCTGACCAAAGCAAGCAATTTGAAGATGACTCACAGTTAACAGACTTCCAACAAAACGTTCCACAACAATGATTGAAATCCCCACGACCGCTGCAGACTCAAGTGGTCGATCCTTTTATCCTCCTCCATGCATGGAAAGCAATATATTCTCTTCTCCGTAAAGCTGTGCGTACAGTATGGCCATAGTGTGTGGGTGTGTAATGGTGACTAATCCAATTTGCAGTCTTATTCTGGATCCCTAGTTGTCAGAGAGTCCTTAATCTCTGTGGAGAGAGAGATCCTCACAAACTAATCTTAAGCTTGTGTCAGTCTGCTGATCCTTGTGGTAATAGTTTTTTTTTTTCTTTTCTTTCTATGAATGAATGTAGGGAGTAAACACTGGACAACCGTCAGTCTCACTCATCTGCAGTCTTTCAAAACTCAATCTCAAGTGTTAAAAAAAATAATTGAACTGTGGCTTTGGGCTGCTGAACGTGACACGGTGAAGAACGGGACTCATGGTGTTGACCTGGCACCGCTCAGCTATCCCTGATCCTCCTCCACCCATTCACTTACTCCAGAGGCTTGGGTTGTTTGTTGCCGCGGGTTACACTTGTTGTTGAACGCAATGTCGGAGCACATGCAGCTGTCCCTTGCCTTGTGCAGGATTGGGCTTTACACGGTAAGAAGATGCAAACATGCTGGTATTTGTTTGCTGGAGAACAGGAGGGATGCGGTCTGTGTGTTTATGTGTTAGATTGAACATACTACTACTAGTTTTAGTATGCTTTTAATCTTTCCTTGCAGTGCTTTACGGTTGGTTGATCACTGAATATAGAGTGCGCTCTAATGTGTATGTTGGCATAATATTAAGATGGAAAAGGTGGATACAAGCAAAAAGACAGATTATTGTCTCTTTTTCTACCTGAGCTCCTAGCAACTGGCTTCAGGCAGTCTTAAGTGCATCATAGTTTTAAACGAATCCATCCATATTATTCAAATAGTGATAACTGTCAAATTTGTTTTTGAGTTTCTACTGCCATGTGACTTGTAAGAGAGATATTGGTTAACATAAATAGACAAATAGATGTATTTTTAGAAGCACTGCAGTATTTGGTACATGTTTTGAAATAGTTGTATTTTAACAGCAGCTGATGACTCACATTGCATTTTGTCTGCTCCTCTGTTACTCTCTCACCAGCTGGTAAAGCCTTTTCAATGAACATAAACAGAAAGGCTGATTCTGAAATAAGTGTTTAACAGTAAGCGTTTGTTTGATTAAAACGTCGTGCCTCATCGTTGACTCATCGTTTCAGCCATTCTTGAATCAAATGAGTGGGAATAAGCAGATGGCTATTAGGTGTATTGGAATTAAACAATAGACCTTGTAAATTAAAATAGTAGCAACTGTTGCTGGTAATACGTTTGGTTTTTTTTGTTTTTTTTATTGCTGTTTGACTGGCTTTTAATGTTTTCTTCTGTCAGTTTGCTTAATCCTTGAGGCACCATCAACATCCAAACAACAATAACAATGCTGCTGGGCTCTTAGATCTCTAGTTATATTAAGTGGTGCAAATTGTCCGTTGTACTCCTAGTTATTCCTGTAACACAGATTATGAAAAGTTTTTATTATATTATTGACTGAGTAGGTTGGGACTAACAAAGGTAAATTTGTAGCAAAATGAAGTAAACTGCTGTTTTGTTTTGTTTTTTTCCCACACAGATTCAGCTACATGTAAATTAAATATTTCATCAAATAATGCCACTTGCAATATATTTTATTTGCGAAGTAATTGGAGGAATGTAATCAGCTGCCTCCTCAGTAAAGCTCTGTTGTCATATAAAGCGTTTATCTCGTCACAAATCACTTTGCAGCTGATTGTTAGATAAGCTGTACTTATCTTAAAATTTGAGCATTTACTGGGTCACAGCAATCAAAAAATTAAATATAACCCATAACAAAATAGCCTAAATATAGTAGCTCAGTAAAAATGATGCAATATGAAATAAAGAAATCGCTCAGTTAGGTTAAAAAAAAAAAGGCCAATAACAAAGAGGAGTTACATAAAAAAACAAAAATTCTGAAATAGTGTAAATTAGTTGAATAAAGTTCTTAGAGCTTAATAAATAAAAGACTATCTGGATGGGTGGATGAATAAACCACTAGGAAAATAAATACAGGTATTGTAGTGTGACAAGAAAAGATTTCTTGGATCTAACCAAGATCATGAACCACCCTGCACACGACCCCCACAGCCACCATGCTTCAGTCCTTGTTCTGCTCTGGAGAACTGAGCATAGCAGCTCCAAAGCCAGAATTCAACAGACGTAGCTTTCAGGTCAGAAAAACAAAGCCATTTCGGAAGCGCTTCAAACCTGCATTCTGTGACAAATCCACTAGGTGACAAAAGCTAAGTCCTGTCGAAGTCTTTGGGGAAATTGTGTCCGTTTCTGTCTTTTGGGTCATTCTGAGTCTATTTTGTAAATCTGTCATATTGTGCTTTAAAAAGGATGATTATCAGTGGTATGGTCATTGGCTAATGATTAGTGATTGATAAGCTGTGAGCAGTCAGACCTGCCCTTTCTTGTCATATCTACTTTTTAGAAACCAAGAGGGAGATAATGAAAACGCTGATCTCAAGGCTTCAAAGTGCAACTTAAGAAACCAGTGATTGATGTCTCAATAGCTACGTACTCGTCTTATACTGTCTGTGAGCGGCACATGAACTCGTCCAAGTAAAATCGAGCTGTGAGAAAGGTTGAACTGAGGTTAAACTATTGTTCTGGGTCGCAGGGTTTATGTGTTGGGTTGTATCTCCTTGGGAAAGTTAGTCTGATGATCCCCTTCCTCTGTCAACACCGCTGTCCTGCTTTGTACCTGAACTTGAACCTGCTGTTGCTGTCAGCAGGGCGATTATGTTGAACCAAAATGTTTTAGTTAGGCCAACAAAAAAGCAAAGAAGCTGACTCCAAATCACAAAATGTGGGAAGATAACAAATTAGAGCAGCTGCACTTTAATAAGAAATGTACTCATTGTATTTCATTAACCAACAGTTTTTGTTTTTGTTTTTCTTATTGGTCTTGATGGAAAATCAGGAGTACTAACACATCTCACACAAAAAAGGAAAAAACACATTTATGTAGTAGGCTTAGCAATTCTACAGACAGTAAGTTGGTTCGTGCCATCATGGATACTTGGAGCATATTGTTTGGCAAAATTTGTTAATATAGCCCCATCTGCCTTGGTCTATGGGGGCTGTGTGGTGGGACAGGAAAAACTGACTCCTTGGAGTGTGTGTGTGTGTGTGTGTGTGTGTGTGTGTGTGTGTGTTGATAAAGGAATAATAAAGCATGTAGAATTATTTTGATTAGGGAAACAGTTGTTCTGTTTTCTCCTTTTTTTTTTCCTTTTTTTTTGCATCCACAGCTGATAAGCTGATAAGAGATGGCTGATGTGAAATGCTACTAATAGAGTTGACAGTGCATTATGTTATTGTAATCATAAATGCTCCTCAACAAGTATTACATCTACCCAATGTCCTCATAGCTTCTGCTGTCTCTCACTAAACACGAGAGGTAAAAAGAGAGGGAGAGAAGCCCACAGTCATCATCTGATCTTTTCAGTCTTGTCAAAGAGGTCGTTGGCATGGCAGGCATGAAATACCTCCAAACTGCTGACCCTTTGCTGTTCTCTTCCTCCATGCTTTGCTAGGTCTCCCACTGGCATCTTGTGCACAACTGCTGATGTGTGAGCAGTTAAAAGAGAATAACAGAGAATTTCACAGAATCAGCATGTTGTCACTGATACCGGATTCATCTATTTGAGAACAGGTTTAGACCGATATCACCCAGCTATCAGCTCACGCCTTCCTTATCTCGAGTTACCTGTTTCTTTTGAATTGGACACATTTTCACTGAAACCTCTGTGCTGAGTCACTCTATGTCCATCTGCTTATTCAGTCAAACTTTTCCAATACAAACCATGTATCTATTCTGTTTTTATTACAGCAGTGCAGGTAGATGTTGGTTAGGTTCTCTGTAGCAGCAGGTGCCCTGGGATATTAGTATGTGGCCACGTGCTATGGGTACCATAGCTACTGCTCTTTGGACCCTTAACCATTAAGGGTCTAAGTGATCGCATTAGTCACTTCGTGGCTAACTCATTATGTTTTTAATGGAGTGGAAAAGTGTTTCTCATACATGCTGCTTCTAATTTTCAGACTCAGGTCACACTATTTAGATCAAGATGCTCAAGACTGCTTTGAGCTTAATTTGGAAAGAAAGGCTAGAGAGTGTGCACAAGATAATGGCAGCTTTACACCCAAGGTGGCCCATATAAGAAACCTGAAGCAGCATACTAATTCTTTCACATTAATGCAGGACTCACTGAACCAAAGTCAGAAAATAAGTCTTTTTATTGGATAGTAGTGAAAACTGTTTAAGGTGCTGTGTAAGAGATGTCTTTGTAAGACGCAGTAGATACGTTCAATTGTTCAGAATCAAAGTAAATAACCTTATAAAGGCAGATAAATATCAGAAAAACATCACTATTTAAAGAGGGGTTTCTCTTAAACTTTACTGATTTGTGCAGCTGTCACCACACTGGTAACACATGCATCGTTTTTGTCCCGTTAAAGATGAAATATTTTTTTTGAGTATTTTTTCCCCATAAACCAAAAGTACTTTTCTTATGGTAATATCATTTAAGTTATCTGCTTTGTGTTTTTATGCACAGCAGCACATTGGCTCAGTAGACAGCACATGCACATCATAGAAAGAAGGTTTTAGGTTTAAACCCTCCTGGGATCTTTTCTGTATTAGGGCTGCCACAAACGATTATTTTGATAGTCGACTAGTCACCTATTATTTTTGCGATTAGTAGACTAATCGGATCGTGCATCCATTGGACGTAAAACGTACAGCTTATTGCACCAGCATGCGTCTGCTCTTATATAACTATCATTAGCTTACAGCTTTAAGTGTTTAAGGTATGTGCTAACTAAAAATAAAGACAAGATGATAGTTTGTTAAATTTTAATGAAATTTGTAGATTGTTTCGGTGAAGTTTAATAAACTCCTTGCTATCTAAAATATAACGGGACACCGGAGTATATTCTCGAGCATCTCACACTTCTGATAATCAGTTGTCTTCTTGATGTTTATTCAGCTGTGTAAAAACTATAACTTTAATCTCAGCCAAACCGATTTACTCAGGAACAAATAAAATACAAAAAAAACAAAAAACAAACAATAGCATTTTGAAGTTCTCTAAGTGACTTATATATATTTAACCTGAGTAGTGAAAGACTGCAGTGGGTTTGAAAACGATTTGCAGGGAGTCCGGTGTTCTCACGGGCTC